GTCCTGAGGAGACACGACACATAAAGAAGTAAAATATGCCAAAGTAACAAAATATAATTTTACAAGTTACCCGACGATGCCCGGGAACTTTTTGATAAATAAAATGCAAACAGGAAATTGTGGAGAGCCACGATCATTACGTCCTTAGGAGACACGACACAAAAAGTAAAATATGCCAAAGTAACAAGACCTTTATATAATTACTAGCAGAGTTACCTGACGATGCCCGGGAATAATGTTTATAAATAAAAATGCAAACAGGAAATTGTGAGCCATGATCATTTACGTCCTGAATGGACTAAAGGTTTTATGCCAAAGTAACAAGGGCCTTTATAAATTAAGCAGAGTTACCCGACGATGCCTTTTCTAATTTAATAAATAAAAATGCAAACAGGAAATTGTGGATGATCACTCACGGAGACACGACACATAAAGAAGTAAAATATGCCAAAGTAACAAGAGCCTTTATATAATTACTAGCAGAACCTGACGATGCGAAAGAATTTTGTATAAATAAAATGAAATTGATCAGCCATTTCACTTTCCTGAGGAGACACGACAATAAAGAAGTAAATTATGCCAAAGTCCAAGGGCCTTTTATATAATTATAGCATAGTTATGAGATGATTTTTTTTGTATAAATAAAAATGCAAACAGGAAATTGTGGAGAGCCATGATCACTTACGTCCTGAGGAGACACGACACATAAAGAAGTAAAATGGCTCAAGGGCTTTTATAATGGTCAAATAAAAATGCAAACAGGAAATTACCATTATCAGTCCTGAGGAGACACTACACATAAAGAAGTAAAATATGCCAAAGTAACAAGGGCCTTTATAGATGAAGAAGAGTTACCCGACGATGCCCGTAACTAATTTGTATAAATAAAAATGCAAACAGAAATTGTGGAGAGCCATGATTCCTGAAAAACACATGCTGAAGAAAATATGCCAAAGTGAAGAAATAATTACTAGCAGAGTTACCCGATGCTCGGGAACTAATTTTGTATAAATAAAAAAATGCAAACATTGTGGAGAGCGATCACTTACGTCCTGAGGAGACACGACACATAAAGAAGTAAAATATGCCAAAGTAACAAGGGCCTTTATATAATTATGGTTACCCTGATGATCAGGAACTAATTTTTGAGTTTAAAAAAATGCAAACAGGAAATGGAACCATCTCTTACGTCCTGAGGAGACACGACACATAAAGGTCCAATATGCCAAAGAACAAGGGCCTTTATATAATTACTAGCAGAGTTACCCGGTGATGATCGGTCCTAATTTTGAGTAAATAAAAATTAAACAGGAAATTGTGGAGAGCCACGATCACTTACGTCCTGAGGAGACACGAAACGTAAAAAGTAAAATACCATGAAAGGAACTAATTTTGTCTAAGTAAAAATGCAAACAGATAATTGAAGAGAGCCATGATCTCCCACGGCGTAATGTAAATCATTGTACGATAAATATATATCCGCGTCCTGGTTAAACAAGATCTGTTGTTTAAAATTAGAAATGTGCAATTTTTAAATCGGTGGATAAATACTCAAAAATGTATTTGATTTGTTTTGTCGACTTAAACTATATCCGTATATTTTTAAAATATGTATGTCCTGACATTTTGTCTGTGTTCATTGCATACTGTTGAATGATTTAGACTTTGGTACGTTTAGACGACATCATAGTAAGGAGCCAACCTCGAAACATCGAGAGCTCTCAATCAAGTTTAAAAAGATTCAAGACTTTGGTTTTAAAGTCAAAGAGTCAAAGTGTTTTGGTTTGAAGGAATCAAGAGATTCCCAGAGACTACTTCGACTCAGTCAACACATTCTCCAGGAACGGTCTTACCAGGAATATACAAAAGAATATAAATAGTTAACCCCTAAGCATTTTGTGTTGCAAAATTATTCCATGAAAGAGTAAAATATAGGTTTTTATACCAGAAATAATGACGATAAATGCCAATAAATCAGATAGATAGCGTCCTGGTTAATATAGATAAAATAGATAGATGATAGATAAAATGATTATCCATAGATAGATAGTCCTTGGTTCCACCTAATTTGAACCACCATATAAATATGGTTGGTACTGGTGAGGGAGGAATCAGGTTCAACCAGAACTCTGCCCGGTACTGCGACTCAGTTCTCCAGGAACGGTCCCAGGAATATACAAAAGACTATATGTAAATATTGTAACTTTCCCAATACATTTTGTTCAAAACCATGCAGTAGTCAAGTTTCAACACATACCCGAAAGATCTGAATAAAAATATTTTACAAGTCTTTTTTAATTAACAAACAAAGACGTGTGTGCTCATATCGCATTAGGCTCGGAAAATTATTACCATCAATAGTGTTTCAAATTTCAATTTCTTTCGAAATTTTCCGAAGAAAAAGCCCAGTCTGCCTTACTATTTAACCCATGGATGGAGAAAAATGACTCACGCTTTTTTTTAATGTATTGGCACGTAGTGAACGAAAGAGAATCGATCAGATTTACTTTCCACGCCGTTAAAATGAGATGATTTTTAAAATTCGCAAAAATTTACTGTTATCAGTTCTCCTATATGGAAGTGGATGCTGGACAATCTCATCACAGATGAAGAAGAGACTTGAGGTAACAGAAATGTGGTTCTAAAAAATGATGCTGAGAATCCCATGAAATGAAAATCTGAGCCGTCCTGGGTATGACGATAAACTATATCCGCGTCCTGGATAAATTACGCCTAACAGCATGGTCTCTGATCAGGTAGTTTTGAGGAGCGTGAAAACACCTCTTAATTGCTGGTTTTCCAAGGTCCACCCTGAACCTGGGTGGTTACACCTGTTAGGGTCCCAGCTATGGGTAAATAGTTAACCCCCAAGCTGGTGTCAAAACACCATGAAAGAGTAAAAATAGGTTTTTATACCAGAAATAATTTGTAAAAATTATTATTAGCAGCAATAAATTTTTGAAGAAAAATTACTATCAACAGTAGATTATTACCAGCAGTACATTTCTGGAAAAATTAGCACAATAAAATTGACGGAATCAAGTAATCCGTTGAGTTTGTTATATCGTAAAACAAAACAAACCAAACCAAAACGAAAATCTGAGCAACGATGAAGTTTTAGAGATACTGGAAAGAAAAAGAATACTTATACATCATAAAGAGATATTTGAAATGTTTACGGTACAACATGAGGAAGGAGGGATTAGTTAATTTAACACACATATGGCATTAAAGGCAAGCGAAAAACAGCTTTTGTAAATTGTTGGTAAACAGGACTTAGGAGAGATAGCAAAAAAACAATTACTAAGGGCCACAAGGGATAGGAAAATATGGAGAGCCTTAATCGCCTATGTCCTGAATGGGAACGTCACATATAAAAACAAGTTCCTTGAGCGTGTATCACTTTGAATGAAGGTTTTATTGTCTTTATTGGGCAGGTGATTTCCACACGGTTCTCGTACGATCACTGAAGGTTACCAATGTCAAGACCCTAGGTGGGTGAGCGCCTGGGAATACCAGGAACTGTAAGCTTAGATATTCAAGTAGTGAAATGGATAATGACTCAGAATTGTTTATCGGAGAGCCGAGTTCAAATCCCGATATTAACCTAATTGAACATAATCATGGGGAACGTATAAATCCACCACTTCTCCCTCTAGCTATGAGTTAATTAGTAGGACATATATCATTAAATCGTTATTATCTAAAAAGAATGTTACAATCTAAAATGTTGTTTGGCTTTAAATAACCTTCTCTTGTGGAGTTATTTCGCAGTGGAGGCTTGTATTTGTACTAAATCACCAAGATTTTTTGTGTGTGTGTGTGTGAATCCGAGACTTTTGTCGCCGAAGTTATTGTGGCGAGAGAATTTTTTCTTCCTCCGTATGAGGGCGAATTCTCGTCGCCAAAGTTATTGTGGCGAGCGATTTTTTCTTCCTCCGTATGAGGGCGAATTCTCGTGGCCAAAGTTATTGTGGCGAGCGAATTTTTCTTCCTCTGTATGAGTGCGATTCCTCGTCGCCAAAGTTCTTGTGGAGTTATTTCGCAGTGGAGGCTTGTATTTGTACTAAATCGGTCCTAAAATAGTTTCGACGTACAAAACGTTAGGAACTTGATATAATAGGTATCACGCAGAGTAATCTTGTTGTGGTCGCTGACTATTTTCGTATTCGGCTAACCCTCGTTTCTCTTACTACTCCTACTTATATTAGGTGGGAAAGTCTATTAACTATAGAATAGGTGTGTTTCACCATAACACCTTCAAAAATAGAAAACATTCAGTCGAATATAAAATTCTACAATTCTGGAGCAATGGGTAGCGGCTCGGAATGAGGAATCGGAGAGCCGAGTTCGAATTATAGTCAAATCACTTACATACTAATACCCTTACCAGAGCTATGGGTAAATAGCAGGACATACCGGGTTCCATAGCCTTGGATGGCAAAATCTACCTCGTCAATCATGTATGGAAAGATACCTGATCGTTTAAGAGTGTATCACGCATACATAACTCATCTTCAAAAGACTAGTAGGTAGATTATATTCGTAAATATTATCTTCAAAAGGTACATCTGTCTCAGATTGTTTACATTATTCGGACTATACTGATACAGATACTGTCTCAGATTGTTTATATATATATATATATATATATATATATATATATATATATATATGTTTATGGGCGGTACAAAGCTTTCACTTACGTTCTATTACCCTTGGGAAAGGTATGAGTCCTCTTCATCTCCCCCCAGGTATGAGTAAATAACGGGACGGACCGGGTTCTGTAGCCTTGGATGGCAACTAGTCTACCACAGAAAGAAATGACAACCTACTGCGGGAAAAAATATCTGCCTCGTCAGTCATGTATCGAAAGATACATGATCGCCTAAGCGTGTATCACGCATGGCACATAACTGACTGATAAATTCTTATCATAGAATCCAAGAAGATTCGAACCGCTTTCAAATTTGAAATAATATATTCAACGCCTTTACCTAATGAACTACATTAGCTATCAACCTGTCCTTCTCCTCAGCGCCCTTGTTACTATCCGGATAGTGTGATATCAACGACACCATGATAGATTTCTTTATTTGAGGCTCTCGATAAAGCAAGGAGATTAATTATTGATTTTTCTAGGCTTCCATAGCGAAGTGTCTGAAGCATTTGTTTTCTCCACCTCTAGTTTGTCGAAATATTTGTAAGTGAATTTGACCTTCTCCTTGACATCCTTTCACGAGGGGAATGCCGTCGACATTACTTTGTTTTTAGTTTATCCTTTACTGGTCTTCATCCTTGTTTATTGAGAGAATGGACGTGGATTTTAAACAATGCCTGTGACATCAATAAGACTGTTGATGAGATCAAAGGGCTAAACTGGAGAATTGTTGGAAAATGGGATGGAAAATATCAGCTCTTTCTTTTTCTTCCTTTCTTTTTCTTAATTCATTCTACCATTTTCTTTCTTTTACCTAGTCAATCATTCTTTCCAATATTCTTTCATTGCATCTTTCAAGGAATTTTTTTTCCATTTTTAATTTTTCTTTACTTTTCTCTCTTTTTGTCAAATTCTCTTTTTTTGCGTCTTTCTTTTTCCTTTGTTTCATTTCAATTTATTAATGTTTATGTCTCTCTTTTTTATAAACATTGATTCGTTTTTGGTTGCATTGAAAAGTTTCCCCAAATTGTCCCTTCTTTCCTTTTTTTTTTTTTTCTTTTTTCTTTCTTTCTTTCTTTCTTTTATTCCCTGCGATAAGCTTTTTTCAATTCTTTCTGGCTTCTTTCTTTTTTCTTCCTTTCTTTCACGGATTCTATCCCCTTAATTTTTTTTCAATTCTTTCTTTCTTTCTTTCTTTCTTTCTTTCTTTCTTTCTTTCTTTCTTTCACTGATTCCACCCCCATACAATCTTTTCAATTCTTTCTTTATTTATTTCGTTCTTTCTTTCTTTCACTGATTCTATTCCCATACACTATTTACTATTCTTTCTTTCTTTCTTTCTTTCTTTCTTTCTTTCTTTCTTTCTTTCGTTTCGTCGTTCGTTCACTGATTCCATCCCCATACACTATTTTCAATTCTTTCTTTCTTTCTTTCTTTCTTTCTTTCTTTCAGTCGTTCGTTCACTGATTCCATCCCCATACACTATTTTCAATTCTTTTTTTATTTCTTTCTTTATTTATTTCGTTCTTTCTTTCTTTCACTGATTCTATTCCCATACACTATTTTCAATTCTTTCTTTCTTTCTTTCTTTCTTTCTTTCTTTCTTTCTTTCTTTCTTTCAGTCGTTCGTTCACTGATTCCATCCCCATAAACTCTTTTCAATTCTTTCTTTCTTTCTTTCTTTCTTTCTTTCTTTCTTTCTTTCTTTCTTTCTTTCTTTCTTTCACTGATTTTTTACAGATTCTATCCCCATACACTCTTCTCAATTCTTTCTTTCTTTAATTCATTTTAATTTATTAATAATTATAAGTTTCTAAACATTGATACTTTATATGTTGCATTGAAAGGTTTCTCTAAATCTTTCTTTCTTTCTTTCCCTTAAAATTTCTTTGTTCTAATCTATCTTTCTTTTTTCTATCTTTCACTTAAATGTTGTTTATTCTAATCTTTCTTTCTTTTTCTTTTGCGCTATGCTTCTTTCCGCTTTTATAAGCCAATCGGACATTTTTCTTTTTTCTTTGTTTTCTTCAATGTTTCTTTCTTTCCGTCTTCATTTATTTATTTTTCTAAGTTTATTATTCTTTTCTAAATTATATATATATATATATATATATATATATATATATATATATCCTCCAATATATATCTTTTTCCTCCAATCATTCTTTCAATGTTCTACTTTCTTTCTTTTCTTTGTTTCTATCCTTCTTTCTTTTCTTTTCTTTTCTTTATTTTTTCTTTCTTTCTGTTTTCTTTCTTTCTCCTTTCTTTCTTTCTTCTTTCTTTCTTCTTTCTTTCTTTTTTCTTTCTTCCCTTTCTTTCCGAGTTAATCCTTTTTTCTTTATGTTATCTTTCTTATCATGTTTCGTTCGATTCAGTTATTCCGCCACTTATCATATCTTTCTCTTATATTCTTCTCCCCGTCAATCATTCACTTCTCATTTCTGTCGTAAAAGACAAGACAGTACAAAAATATCAGCCACTAAGCCACCACAACCTTTACAACTGACCCGTGTTGGCATTAAAACATAATTGACTGAGTAGATCACACAGTGTTGATATCAGATACGAAAAAGAAAATTCAGGCAATCCTTCCAAAGGTATTGACGGAAAGCGAGAAGAAAATTCCAAAAAGACAAAATGAACAGTTGACATCGAAAAAAAAGAGCTCAACATGTAAATTAGAAATTGAAAATGTCAAATATTAAATATCAATTAAGTCCAAGCTCTTGCGGGTGAGGAATTACCGTAATCCCCCATGTACAATACGCCTTCATCCATAATACGCACCCCAAAAATTGTGCTGAAAGTGTGGAGAAAATGCTTCTACTCAAATGCGCATCTCTTGTTTGGTAATCAAACCCTTTGAATTGTACCTCTCCAATAGTATTACGGCCAGCGTTTCGTACTCTTATATTAAAAAATGGTTTTAAATATAGGATAATATTATTCTAATTTAGTTTTATGATAATTCTTATCTTATGAGAAAGTGTAAGTATTATTAGGTACATATGATTGTATTTGACATATTTATGGGTTTCCAATCGCCGAATGTTATTGTCAAATTGTCGTATTTTTGTAGGGAATCGTCATTTCGCAACTGAAATCGACCTATGAAACAGCAATTTTTAAAGATTTTTTGTATCTGTGCATAATACGCACTCAATTTGCTTATTATGTTTTAGAAAAAAAAATGCGTAATATATAGGGAATTACGGTATTCTCCACCCTTTAACCCACACACAGGATGTGGCAAGTCTCTCACTGCTACTTTCCAAGAAACTGCTCGGATGAAATATATTCCCTTTAGCTCGACTCACCGATATCCAGTTCCATGGCGATATATCCGTGATTTCAAGCTTACAGAACCGGGTATTTCCAAGCGGTCACCCATCTAGAATACTGTCCCAGCACGACGCTGCTTAACTTCGAACCGGTGTTTCGCAAACGTGGAGATTATAACGGAAGGATAAGCCCGTGGAAAGCCACGATAACCTGCCTCTTGGGAAGAACATGGCATTTAGATGAAAAATAACTGTGAGTTATCTGCTGCTTCTCTTGTGCAAAAACCGGCGAAGATTCGTCTCTGTGGAAAACAAACAATCCGTCGAGTGTGTTTCATTGGTCGGTCGCTAATTAAATGTTTAAACAAACGCCAAAATATGATTGAATTTTCTAATCAAGATTCATTTATGCATCCAATGCATTAGAAATTAATTTCGGATTAATTAAAGAACGTCTCTGATATTTTTTGTTTTTTTTAAAAAAAAAAGATTTCTCTGGCGTTCGATGTGAAATTGGGGTTTAATTTCCGCTAAAAACAATTGTAATCATTGCCCCAAATCCTAAGTCAATAGAATCTTGCATGAAAACAGTATCAGGAAGTTAATAGATATTTACTATGCTTAGATTATAGTTTGACACAAGGGCTCTATGGTGCAGCACTTAATGAGGAACTAATTTACAGTTAACAAATATTTTACGAGCGTTACAAAATTAAATAATTTCAATAAAAATGGAAATATTAAAATCAAACAACAGGAAGCAGTAACAAAAAAAAAAATATATATATTACTACCGTAAAGTCGTTTGGTTGTTTTTGTTTAGCGGCATATCCATGGGTTATATAAGGCCCAAATTTAAATATTTTTTAAGCAATTTTATTTCATTATTGGGGATAATAATAATTTATGTTGTGGCCTTGTCGAGGCCTGAAATAAAGACAAAAAGAAAGAAACTGAGTTAAGCAAATATATTAACAGAAACAGTAATACAAACATATACAAACGAGTGGTACAGCAAGAACGTTCGGTCCGACTGTACGAGCTGACTGCTAGAAAAGTTTCCGCACTAAAAGGCAGTACCTGCTCCTATTTATAGCTGGGAGAGTCCATGCGTGCGTGGGTAAATTATCATAACAGTTTACTAATTAATTCATAGCTGGGCGGAGAAGAGATGGCTGCATACGTTTCCGAAGAGTATTTGTGTCTAAGGGAATACATCGAACACAACTGGAATTGGAAATCGGCTCATCGACGAACAATTTTGAAAAAAAAAAGTAAAATATAACATAGGACAAATATGAATAAATAAAGGAAAAAAAATAAAGCTGAACAGCCACACAAAAGTCTACAAGAATTTATTCATAACTAGCAGCATGGCCCGGCGTTGCCCGGGCTTGATTCAAAAATCGTACGACTCATACAGCAATCGCTATCACTTGACTTAAAATATTTTTGCCCTTCCTTGCCTTTAAAGGAGTTCCCTTTGCCGTGCTGATGTTGCTACATGCCTTACTTCTTGCCTATCTCACACTGCGAATTTTTTCTAAGCTCTATACTAAACATTAAATCTGTTACGAAAAAAGAACTAAACAAAATGAACACAAAACGATCAGCTTTAAAAAAAGGACTCGTAACTGGAAAAACCGAATGAAAAAAAGAATGTTAACAACAATTAATTTTTCACAGTCAACCCAGTTCTGCGGAATCAGAATCAACGTTGATTTAAAAGCAAGCGAATGGGCCAATTGGAGTAAAGTGTCATGCAGATTTAAATTTTTCCCACTTGTGACGAATGCAGCTATCGATTTTTTTGCAGCATAGCATGCTAGTTAACATTCGTGTCAGTGAGCTGTTGGTTCTCACGCTAGCCAATAGAATCTTCCTGCCAGCTATAGGCTCTCACTCTGGCCAGTACAAAATGGCCTCAAACTACATGAAAAGTGCCGTAGAAGCATGAAAAAATTGATTATTTCCACTATCGATGGGAGTTGGGAAATGCAAAGTCGGTCTTGGCCTTCCCGCTAACTTGGACCATGTGCATATAAATTTTGGTGCAAATTCGTCGAAAATTGCGGTCGTGCATTCGTCACACACACACACACACACACACACACACACACACACACACATCCTGTCTTTTATAGATAGAGATCATTCAACCACCCACACATTCTGTAGTCACGGATTGGTATTAAATACGATTAGCTTGTTTTTTGCAAAATGTCTCATATTTGAGGTGCTCTATTTGGATTGAATATATTAATGCAATGATAATCTTCCAAATTTGCTGGATAAGCATTACGCTACAGTGAAGCTTCCCATTCCACATTATATCTTCATTCATAGGTGCCCGCTTCTCTTGGCTTTGTATGGCACGAGGCCTTATATTTTGCTTGCTATGAGTGGATTTACTATACAGGGTGAGATGAGTAAATTGTTGCCATTTTATATTTTTAATTTTGCGCATGCGCGTTGTTTGTTTCTGATTTAGTCGACTGCCCAGTATATTAGGGTCAGTTGGGCAATGTCTGTGGGAAAAAGATCACCATAACGCAATTTTCTCCGCCAGAAATTTGAAAGCGACATACTGTACTGCTTGGGATTCGCACCGGACGCTTCAATACGAATAGTTTATCGTGTTTAGGTGTAGAGGATACGGAAAGAGTTGGATTTGTCTAATTATGAAGGTACATCAGCTCGGAAAAGTAACTCTGATAAGAAAAGAACTCTGGAATTTGTTGTTGAGGAACTCGGACTGAACCCGGAAGTTTACATCAAGTGCCTCGAGGAGGTAGTGCTACCCTGGGTCAAGATGGTGGCTGCTAGACGACCCTATGCCTGGCAACGGGAATCTGCGCCGTTCCATACAAGCAGAAGAACACAGTTATGGCTATCAGACAATTTCTGCGACCACATAACCGCTTACATCTCGCCATCTAACTCCCTAACCTGCAACCCCCTTGATTATTATGTGTGGGCGCAATTGAGCGGGAGACAAACAAAACAGTGCTAATATCATACTATATTAGCACTAACCCCTAACCCTAAGCCGTAACCCTAACCCCTAACTCTATCCCTAACATTTTTCATATTTCCAACGGTTGGTAAATGAATTTTTACTATGGTATCATATTTACCAACCGTTGGAAATATGAAAAATGTTAGGGCTAGAGTTAGGGGTTAGGGTTACGGCTTAGGGTTAGGGGTTAGGGTTACGGCTTAGGGTTTAGGGTAAGGAGTTAGGGTGTGGATTAGAGGCAGTGAACTGGTTAACAATCAATAGTGATTTTAATTGTTGTAAACTCATTTAAAAAAAACTGTAAGGTGGTCATCGTTTTTTCCTGAACATTTTCCAGCAATGATGAGTACATCGTCATTTACGGTAGGTCGCAAATACCTCGGTAGATATCATACTATAGTGGCAGCAATAAAACTCCTTGTAACACCAAAGATGAACTGAAGTCAAGGATTATAGCAGTATTCACCAATTTAAACAAG